TGATTCAAGAAATATTTGAGTGCCTGATATGTGCAAAGCATTGTGCCAAGCACTGTGGGGGATACAAAGCTGAATGATTGGTATGCTCCCATTAGGTATAATGATCTCATAGATTAAACTGCCTCTTCTTTTTCTCCCTTGCTCAGTTGAAGCATTTAAAAATATTTATCTTTTATTTGAGCTGTCTGGGGAAGGTAAAGGAAAGGACAAGATTGGTTTTAAAAATAAGTAGAGATTGCTGAAGAGGTCAGCAGTTCATTCAGAGACCATTGAAATACTTATGTGCCAAGAATAGAGTAGAGATAGACAACCCAATGACCCAGCTACTGGGGTAAGGACCCACTATCTGACAAAAGATTTCTGAGCAAACTGGAAAACATTCTGGCAGAAACTAGATTCAGACCATCATCTCATACCACATGCCAAGAAAAACTCCAGACAGATACGTTGTTTATACATGAAAGGCCACAACAAGGAAGAATCCTATTCTGGATCTGATTTTCACTCAGAGAGAAAAATTAATTGCTGAGGTAGAAATGATGACTTGGAATTGGAAGTTGAGGGGATGCCAATCAATTGGAAATGGCTGAACAAGTTGTGGTATATGAATGTAAGGGAATACTATTGTGCTATAAGAAATGATGAGGAGGCGGACTTCAGAAAAACCTGGAAAGACTTATATGAACTGATGCTGAATGAAGTGAGCAGAACCAGGAGAACATTGTACACAGAAACAGCCACGTTGTGCGATGACTGACTTTGATAGACTTAGTTCTTTTCAACAATGCAAGGATCTAAGACATCTCCAAAAGTCTCATGATGGAAAATGCTATCCACACCCAGAGAAAGAACTGTGGAGTCTGAATGCAGATAGAAGCATACTATTTGCTGTCCTTTTTTTTTTTTTTTTTTTTTTGGGTTGTTGGGTTTTGATTCTTCTTTTTCGTGGTCCCTTCCATTGGTTCTAATTCTTCTTTACATCATGACTAACATGAAAATATGCTTAATATGAATGTATAAGTAAAGCCTATATCAGATTGCACACCATCTTGGGGAGGGGGGAGTAGAGGGAGGAGGAGAAAATTTAAAATTCAAAATGTTATGGAAGTGAATGTTGAAAACTAAAAATTAATAAATTGTTTAATAAAAAAAGAAATGATGACTTGGGAGTGGGATGGTAAGTGGCTATTCCATCTGTGATATAGAAAGAGAGAGAATTCAGGCATAGTCTGACATGTACCCTATAATTCCTGTTCCTTGTGGGTTCCTCCACTATTTGAAGGAATAAATTATCAGAAGTTTGGATAATTGTGAATTGCTACTATGTCATGCCACTGTGTCAGACTTTGTAACTTGTTTCTCAAACTCTATATCTATCTCCTCCTCCTATCCAGGTGATCTCAGTATATTGCAAAGGCTTCCTCATGTGGTCTTTATAGCGTGAAAGCTTTTCTTTCCGTATAGTCTAGAAATTAGGAGTATTTGGTGTGGTGATATTTATTTAAAACATTGTTGTTAACTTTGATAGGCTTATAGAATCTGATGGATGCATGATCAACCATGATTCCAGAGTACTCGTGGTGAAAAATGTGATAGACGAAATAAGCAGAATGAAACATGTTTTTGGACATGGCCAGTATGGGAATTTATTTTGCTTGTTTTACTTAATTTATTAAAAGGATTTTGTTTTTCTTATTTCCTTTTACTAGTTGAGGTGGGGGACGGGGTAGGTAGGTGGGAAGAACATAGGTGAATATAAAGGGCTGAAGCCAGAAAGTGTGAGAACTGCTGCTGTATGCATTAGTGGCCATACAACCTTTGCTGGAAAGGCTTCTAGTGAGGGGAAGCCCACTAGGTGTTATTCTTTTGCATAGTTTACATTGTCAGGAAATTTCTCCTTACGTCAAATATGAATCTACATCTTCCTCTTCCATCCTTTCTTCCTACTTCTGTTCTCTTGGCCCAAGTAAGACAAATATAACCCCTTCTTCAGGTAACTTGAGGACAGACATCGTGTCCTCCCTACCTTTCCTTCTTCAGCCTAAGCATCCTCAGTTCCTTCAACCAACCTTACTATGACAATGTTTTAAAACCCCTCATTATCCTGGTTGTCCTAGGATAAATTTCTTGCCAGTTTATCAGCATCCTTCCTAAAATTTGGTGTGGTAAACTGGAACCCTGTGTTCTCTGTGTGATTTGATTAGGACAATGTAGGAATACTCTCCTTTCCTTAGCCCTGGATATTGTGGTTGTCTTCATATAGCCAGAGTTGTCATAGGGAAGGAATTCCTAGCTAAATATACTCCCTCCAACAATGCATTTTTACCTCTTACCTTGGGGCAGCTAGGTGGCGCAGTAGATAGAGCACTGGCTCTGGAGTCAGGAGGACCTGAGTTCAAATCCAGCCTTAGACACTTACTAGCTGTGTGACCCTGGGCAAATCACTTAACCCCAATTGCCTAACCAAAAACAAAAACAAAAAACCTCTTGCTTTAGAGCACTGAGAGGTTACTCGGTATGTGTCAGTAGGTCTTCCTGATTCCCAAGCTGGCTCTCTTCCCACTCTTATCATGCTTTGTCATTAATGAATGAATGAAATGGAGTTTTTCTTGAAGGTCTGACTATTGAAGCAAAACCATTTGTTTTGTTAGATGCTGCAAATTCTGGTGTCTAACCCTAACCCTTTAATAAAAGGCCAAAAGATGATTTGTCAGGTCCTTTCTACCATCTTCATACTTTAAAAAATACTGTTAATTTGTTTCACAAGATTGAAAGAGAAATATCATTTGTGTAAGGTTCTTATTGAAACAGTAAATGGATGTAAATGCTGATTAATAATCAGGAGATTTTTTTTTCCTATGATGTTTCTGTCATTAATGATCTTGTGAATTATTGGTTTGCATGAATTTCTTTGTTGACTATAACAGCTGGGCTTGCTGTAGAAGTCTCACATTTCAGGGGAGGGGTGAAAGGAGCCTGGAATCAAAGATCTAAAGTTGGAAAGGCCCTCCAGGGAGCTCTGATCCAACCTTCAGTACTTTTTTGGTGAAAAAATGAGGTCCCAGTGTGATGAAGCTTCTTGGCCAAGGTCACCCAGGCTTTTGGTGTCAGAAGTGGGATTTGAGTCTCCAGAGGCACTGATTTTTTCCACTTTACCAGATTCCCGTGTGTTTTAACAGTATTGGTTCCTACAAGACCACCTTTTTCTGTCTCCATCCTGAAATTTGGTGATCCTTATTTTCCATTTAAACATTTTTTAATATAAAATTATTTTTTAAAAATTCAACTACTAACTCCCCCCCTTCCCCCGCTGATTTTTCTATTATTTTAATGTTAGTATTGCTGTTGGCATAGATTGAATAATTTTTATAATGGGAAAATAGTTGCTAAAAAATATTGAGTCCTTCTCCCTACCTGAGTACTTCCAGATACATATATGGCAAAAATCTGTAATTCCTGAAATTTTCTGGCTTTCTAATAAAGAAATTCAGGTTAAGAAACAAAATGATTTCTTAGTATTCTATTGTTTTCCTTATGGCTAAAGCAAAGAGTATTGGTTTTGATGTCAGGAGACATATGTTTAAGTTCAGCTCTGCCACTCAGCTGTTTGAAGTTAGAGAAGTCACTTTTCCTTTGCCTCATTTTCCCCATCTGTAAACTGAGAATAATAATAATTATACTACCTACCTCATAGGCCTGTTTTGAGTGTCAAATGGCATACACTCAAATATATAAATGTCTTCATAATTTTTGTGTGTAATCAAACATCTCCTGACATATTTTAAGACCTCATTGCTGTGTGGAGGTGATTCTGAGATCTAGAAAGCTATATTAGTGGAACTTAAGTTTACTGTGTAGAAAAGACTTGGAGTGTGTATCTGTCATCAAAGGATCAGCCTAGCTAAGTAGATTTTATTTTAACCACAGTCAGCAAACATTTGTTGAATTCCCCTGTATTCTAGACACGGTACTAGTTTCTGGGGTTACAGATATAAAAAATGAAAAAAATCCTGCTCTGAAGGAGCTTATTCTTTATTGGGTGAAATAGCATGTGTACATATATATGTATATACATATATCAATATATACACAGAACAAATTCAAAATAAACTATGTTTAGGCAATTAGAAAGAGAGTGTACTAGGAGTTGAGGGTGTCAGGAAAGCCTTTCTGTGGAAGGTAGGGCTTGAGTTGAGCCTTGAAGGGGAAAAGGAGCTCTATGAGACAAGAGGTGAGGAAGGAAGACTTTTCCTGTCATGGGGGATGGCCATAGTTAAGGCAGAGGAGGTGGGTGATTGAATGCTAAGGGTTGAGAACTGAGAGAAGGCCAATTTGGCTAGGCAGAATATGGGAAGTGAAGTAACACATAATGAGGCTGGAATAATAGGGTGGGGCCAAGTTGTGAACAACTTGAAAAGCCAAACAGATATTTTATCCTCCAGGCAAGAGGGAGCTCCTGGAGTTTATTAAGTAGGAGAATGGAGGATGAACTCACTGTGACTTAGTGGAGAATCATGACTCTTTGAGCATTTATTAAATGTTTGCTTAGTTCCAGACACTTATTAAGCCCTAGAAACTCCCCTGCCCCCCCAAAAAAGACAGTCTCTGCCCTCAGGAAGCTTATAATCTAATGAGAGAAGATAATACACAGAAGGCAGGTGAAAAGAGGAGAAAGGGAAATGTAGAGGGCTCATGATGACAAACCCCAGAGGAATACAGTCTCCGTTGGGTGGAAGATGAAAAGATGACTGGTAGGGTGGGGCGTTGCTCCTTAAATGGAGATTCTGATAGGGGCTCTCCCTCTCTGCTCTCTCCAGTCAAAGGGAGGGACCCCAGGACAGGAGATGCTGATGAGGTGGGAAGACCAGGGCTGACCAGATCTTGCCTTGTTGAGGTTTCTGAAGCGTGATGGTGAAGGAGTGCAGCCTTAGCTAGGTGGGAAATGAAAGCCCATTTTGGACTGACATGTACCAATGATTGTCTTTTCTATTTTGTTTCAGGTAGCTGCCAACACTAGTCCTGGTATGCTGGGCATCTTTCCATCTTGGATTCGTATAGAACACCAACGTAAGGTATTTTCTGATGCTTCACCCCTTTAAGGCGCCAGCTGAGAAGAGAGGGAATTGTTGCTGATATAGTTAAAGCTGCTGAAACTGTCTGAATTCTTTTTCTGAGCTCTAAGAGGAGTTAAGTAGCTATAGAATTGGTTTATTTGAAAGAGAGGGAAAATATCTTACTATAGTATAGAGTGCTTCGTTTTGAGGAGTGAGGAATATACTTATTTCCTCTCCGTGGGACAACATACATAAACCAACAAGTTCTTAGCCTGTGTTGCACCTCACTAGCAAGAGACCCTTATGGAAAATAGCCTGCAGATGATTTCTAGAATATTCGTTGATGTCAAATGATTCAAAACAACTTAATGCAGTACTAACTGAAATAGAGGTCCCATGGTATTATGGGAAGACTCAAATCAAACGTTTATTAAGCATTTACTGTACGCCAGGCACTATGCTAAGCCCTGGAGAAGCAAAGACAAAAGTAAAATAATCGCTGCCTTCAAGGAGCTTCCATTCTAACGGGGGAGATACATGCACGCACACACACACACACACACACACACACACACGCCCAGAAATATATATGTATGTATGTACATAGTTTGCTCCTGTATATGTGTGTGTATTTGTGTATGTGTATATATACACACATATATGGATATATTACATGTGTATATACATACATACATACAAGGCCTAAAGTGACCTTGGATGGAAGGGAAGGCACTAGCCCTGGGGAGACTAGGAAAGGTCTTCTGTGGAATGTGGCCCTTGAGTGGCATCTCCAGGGAAACCAGGTATTCTCAGAGATGGAGGTGAGGAGGAGAGCCTTTCAGCTGGGGGATGGCCAGGGCAAAGGCACGGAAATTGGAGCGTCATGGGTGAGGAATAGTAGGGCCCATATGACCAGAAGTTATATGTAAGGCAAACAGGAAGTTAGGAAGAGGACTGAGTGTGACGAGTTTTAAAATGTGAAACAGAGGAGTTTGTATTTGATCCCAGACCCCAGTTGTAGGGAGCCCCTAGAATCTGTTGAATAGAAGGGAGAGACAAGGGAACACGGTTCGACCTGCGTGGCCAGAGCTGTGCTGTGGGAACATCATGTCTATCTGAGGAAGAGAAGCTGGAGTCAGGAGGATGTTGTAATAGCCTAGGCTGGAGATGATGAAGGTCTGAACTACAGTGGTGGCTGTATGAATGCTAAGAAAGGACACGTTCAGGAGATGTAGAGGTATAGATGACAAGATTTGGCAACTGATGGCATCAGTGGGATAAGAGGAAGTAAGTAATCAAGGGTGATAGTAAAGTTGCAAACCGACGTGATTCAAAGGATGGTAGTGCCCTCCGCAGTACAATTTTAGAAGATCAGAGGGCTAGGAGGGAAAGATACTAAATTCTTTTTTGGAAATGTCCATTAGAGCAGGGCATCTTAAACTTCTTCTGCTCGATATCCCTTTTCCTGTTTGGCAGTTCATTGAGTTGCGTGGTCTGAGGGTGTGTGTGGTGCAAAGTGCACCTGTGTTCAGAACCTAGGCTGCAGCGAATGCAACAGGCTGCCAGAAACACCTCGGATTCATTACACGTTTGATTTTTAATTAATTTTTGACTGTTGCATGTTCAGAAATCTTCTACTGTTGCCAGGTTTTTCGCAACCCCATATGGGGTCTCAACTCGACCCACAGTTTAAGAAGCGTTGCATTAGAGAGCTGGTAATGTAGAATTGAGGCTGGATACCTAGATCCGATCTGAGCGTCATCTGCATAGAGATGTTAAGCTGCCTAGATGTGGGAGCTGGCCATTGCTGCTGCTTCTGCTGAGGTTCAAGGGTGTTACTCAGTGGCACCTGCTTTGCCCCTATCCCCTTCTGGGGCTCAAGTTTAGGGTAGCCCTCGCTGAGATTGGGAGAGGCCAGCATTGGGCATCTCCAGCTTCCCCTGGCTTCCCTCAAGTCTCACCTCCTGCCGGAGGCTTTTCCCAGTCCCCTCAGCTGCTGATGCCCTTCCTTCTGAAATCACCTTCCATTTCCTCACTGTCTCCCATACGTATGTACTTAGTTATACTCATATTGTCTCCCCACTTTTAAAATGGGATCTTTTGAGGGCAGGCACTGTTTTTGCCTTTCTTTGTATCTCCAATGCTTAGCACAGTGCTTGATATGCAGTAAACACTTAATAAATGCTTGCTGACTTACTGATTCACTTCCCTGGCCTGGATATGCTCCTTGAAGCAGAGATGACAGAAACCATCACATTAGACCAAGTGTAGATGGAGGGGAGCCATTCTAGAGGTGATGCAGTGTGAGGGTGTTGAGGGACTGAGAGCTGAGGTATCTGTAGAAGGAGAAGATACCAAAGGCTGAAAAAGGCCTTGGAATTCCATACCAAAAATGGTGACCAGAAGACAATCAGTAACTACCAGCATGTGTTCACATTGTCCTGTCTCTACGAAGTCTTTGTGAGAGTCTGCTCTGCATGAATTGAGGCCATCCTCAGTGAGGGTATTAATAGGGGACATGCAGCTCTTTGGTTTTTAAAAAAAAAAAAAAAAAAGGACCTTATCTTTACCACTTCACAATCAAGTGAAAGAGTGAGTAGAAAACACAAGATCCACGTGCTTATTATTTATTGATTGTGGAACTCGAACAGAATGCTTCCATGCAGGCTGTCGTACAAGAGGACTCTCAGCCATATGTCAGATTCCTCATAAGATAAAACAACAGAAATAACGCTGCTTTGTGACCCTCTGGTAATAATCCCGGGCCAGGTGAGGTATTCACTCCTGTGATGGTTGAGTTCCAGGGCAGAGTCTAGCTTGAGGGATTTCCCTGTGGATGACAATGTCCTCTGCGTGTTCCTCTTTGGAGGTGAGATGCTGCTGCTTGCATCAAACTCCAGAACATTCCAGAGCTTCCTGGGAAAGATCTATAATCACTTAAAAGATTTTGGCCTGTCCATCTGCACGAGAAAGATCAAGTAAATGAAGGTCTCTTGCTCAGATTTTGGTATGTATTTGTATGAATAGCCTATAGAAGTTTCTAGTAGTATATATTTCTGGGCCAGAGAGAAGGAGGAGAGTGGGCCGGGTTATTTTTAGAAAATTATGGAGTTATTTTTTTACTATATATGTATTTTACTATATATGTAAATTTTTTTACTATATATGTATTTTACTATATATGTAAATTTTTTTTCTATATATGTATACCAGCATCTGTGGTTGTGGATATAGCAATCCTTAGAAGAAAATTTATGTCTGAGCACTCTAACCAAAGTTAAACAGAAAAAAATGAGCTTAACATGTGATTTTTAAAAACTAGAAAAACAAATACTTCCGAAACAAGCACAGAAGTGGAAATTTTGAGAATTGTAAATGGAAAGAACTGGCTTTTTAAAATCTTTTTAAAAAAATCTTTCATTTTTATATCCCCTTCAATATTAAATATGCCTCTTCACTCAGGGAGCCATCCCTTGTAACAAAGAATTAAAAAAAGAAAGAAAAACCTAAGCAAAACTTCAGCAAAACTAACCAAAACATGAATTGCTTCTGACAATCAGTAAGTCTGGTCAAGCCAGCAAGCATCTGTGAAGTGCCTATTATGTGCCAGGCTCTGTGCCAAGCATGGGGGATCCAAAGAAAGGCTAGAACTTGGTTTTTACCTTTAAGTAGTTCACATTCTCATGGGGGAGAGAACATGCAAAAACAGTGTAAATAGTGTCAGTGGAAGGTGATCTTAGAAGGAAGGTGTCAGCAGTGGAGTGGGGCTGGGGGCCTGGGAAAGGCCCCCTGTAGAAGGTGGGATTTGAGCTGAATCTTGAAAGACACTAGAAGTAGTTGAGGGGGGACAGTGGCTGCAAAGTCATGAATGTGGGAGATGGAGTATCGTGGAAGAGGGACAGCAAGTAGGCCTGTGTTTTCCTGGGCATCTCTGGGGATGCTTTGGAGAAGGCAGCGTTCTTTCCTGGTGGTTTTTTGAGAAACTGATCCAGGACTCTGGCGTTGGTCTTGAAGGAGCATTTCCGAATGAGGAGACAGGAACTCTGGACTTCATATCACAGGCAAACCACCTTGCCTCTGAGCCTCAGGAAGACTCTAAAATAAAGGCATTGAGGCAGACTGTAGTTAAGCAAGTAGTTCTTAAATGCTTGTTTTGGTGTAAAGCACTTTGCAAGATGCAGCCACTACAAGACAAGAATGCCAGAGCTCCTGCCCTTAAGGAATGTGTGTTTCATTGGTCACTCCTATGTACACAGAGAAGCCAATACAAGATAATATGAGGAGAGAGAGAGGAAGCCTGCTCCCTGGGGACATCCAGAAAGATTTCATGGTGTCTGAGCAGAGCCTTAAAGGCATCGAGGGTTTCAAACAGGAAGAGGCAAAGAAGCGAGCTTTCCAGAGGAGATAGAATAGCCTGTAGAAGGATCAGAAATGACCAAGAAAAATTGGAGTTTGGGGATCGGTAATGGGTCAGCTTGGCTGCAATGTGGCCAAGAGGAGGAGGATGTTCTATGTGATCAGGCAGTCTGGAAAGAAGGAGCTAATTTGGGGGGGGGGGGGCTTTAAACCCCAGAGGAGAGAAAAGCAGTGGTCCTGAAAAAACGGCATGGCGGCAAACCTGTGTCTTGGGGAAATTACTTTGGCAGCTGTGTGCATGGTTTCTGAGTCGGCTTCCATCTCCAGCAATCTGGGTTTGCTCTTGTTTTCTTCTCACTTTTTTCTCATTGCGACTTTTCTTTAGCAAGAACAACTTGGGAATTTAAGTCAAATTGTTGGTCGTTCTGAGGGTCGTAGAGCTGGAAGTGGCTTTAGTGAGGATCAGTGCATCCTGCCCATACCTGAACAGGTTTGCCCTTGATGGGATCCCAGAAATGAATACAATCCTTACAGTAATAGGACGAGACAACTGGAGCTGTAATGGACCTCCGACGCCATCCAGTCCACTTACCTTTCCTAACCTCCCATTTTTGCACTTGAAGGTTTAAGTGATTTGCTCAAGGGTCATAGCAGGTAGCTTC